AGTTGTTTCGTCGCGGACCGTGACCAACCTGCCGTGATATAATCGTTTATGTAATCACCGTCTCGCGAATTTCGTTATTCCTGCTGGATTCGGTATTATCGATGAGAGAAACGTTCGCAGAAAATACTCTGTACTCTGTGCAAAATCCCTCTGTAACTGAATTAACACGTTCATTGTCACGGTGGTCACCGGTGACCGTCACTTTCAACACCCAACATATTACAATATTTACAAAATTGTAAAGAACGCTATTTAAATTTGAAATATTCTAAAATAACAAATTCACCATCGAATTATCGAGCATTTCTATGTTTCACGCTATAATTTCAACAAATGTTGAGGATATCTTTGGACATGGAAAACTGTCATGGCGGTTAAGGTGATAAAAATAAATTGAAAAATAGGAACGAAACAAAGTTGCCAGTTGAACACATCTTGACAACTTGCCCTAAATACAATATAAAGAGGATTCAACATAAGCTACAAAATTCACTAACGATCCTACGAGAAATAGACTCATGCAAAAAATATGTTTGAAACTTATTAAAAGACATTAAAGTATACCAATTGCTCTAAATATGATCAGTTCCACTAGGTAACCCAATTGTGGTCACTAATAACCAACAAGGTGCATGTGACTTAAAACGCTCAGTTGCCAGTTTTCTACTTTCAAATAATAGGAATAATTCGTTAAATTTCAAGTGGCTAGACAAGTTTTTCGGATGAAAAAATTACCCAGGGAAGAGAGAATTTTGTCGAAGAGGAGAGCCTCATTGTTTGGCGTAGCAAGGCAAATGGAAAAAGAGGCGAAAAGAGGACGCGATGGTGGCCAGAAGCTGGTCGTAAAACCCGTTTTAGCGCGTTCGAGTGCCGCGATAGCCCAGTTTCGTTCGGAGGGTCGTTCGAATATTGAAATTAGAGTTCTCGAGACGCTCGCAACAGCGGCCAGCGATTCGATTGTTCCATCTGCTGAACCGGTCCGATTAGCAGAAATAAAACAGCTCTCGAAATTGAGGCGTTGGATGGGAAAAGAGCCACACGTGCCATTTCCAGAAAATCAATTTCAAAAGTAACTTTATTTCGACCTTTCTGTACCATTTTCCACGTGTTCTCTTTAATCTTCAAACGCGTTAATCGTGAAAGTTTCCTTTTCTCGATGCAATCTTGATTTTGTACTTGTAAAATTTCCAATAAATTTCCAATAATTGTAAATCTCACTTCTGTCGACAAAGTAGAGCAGGTAATCGATCGCCACGTGGTGAATTACTTATTGATTATAGATCAGTCTGTAATGTAATGTAACACATTTTATACGGGTAATTGTTTTCTCATGAAACACATGTAAGCTTTGTGTATGTGTCGGTGAGCTAGAGATAGAGGGAGCAGTTGAGAAGTTGAATATAGTAGTATAGTATAATAATAGTTTTTCGGTAGAAGACTCGATTTACGTTTTTTAACAGTCCAGCAGGAATGCAAAAATATTTAAAAAAAATACCAAAGAGAACATAAAGAAACGCGTTTTTCGGCGGAGAACTCGATTTGCATTTTTTAACAAAGTCCAGCAGGAATGCAAAAATATTAAAATAAAAAACGTCTCGCAGAAGGAAGTCCCGATCCCATTGATGGGGGAGAAAGAAAAAAAAAAAACTAGTCGTGTAAACCAGTCGTCTTAAGTCGGCTCTCGAGCGGAAGCGCTCGTTTCTCATCGGCCACGACCTCGATGCATCGTGTTCGCCGACGACCCGCGCATGTGGGTCGCCTTTAGCCCACTTCGCGATAGTTCCAGCGACACCCGGTGACTCGGATCGATCCCACGTGGAAAGTTTTAGGTCGCCGTGCGCGCGCGAGACCGGTGACAGTACTTACGTATAATGTTCCAATTCGAACGCCAGTTTTCAGCGACACTTTGACGGCTGCTGTCACGCGCACGTGACACTCGGTATACATAGTCGTGCATTATGCGTTCATCGCCATGAACGGTGTCTGGTGAACCGGACTTTCGAGTATACAATCGATTCCTCAACGTGTTTCTCCATTTGAGAATTATTATATAGTTTATCCAATCCAGGAATTTTATTTTAATTTTATTGTTACGGATATTTAAATAATATTAAGGTGATTATGCCATAGATTTGATAATTCAAGAGCAATACCGCTTTGAAGTGAAAATAATTTAACTTTTAATTGTTATAACTCTTTAAATATTGGGTTTACGGCATAAATACTTTAATACTTTTTTGTAGAGCTTGGAACACTGCATTGAACGGTCCAATAAAAATTATAGAGTTATAATACCGAAAGAAGTGAAATTTTATTTAATACAACAAAATATTAACTTTTTTAGGCATTTTTGTTACCGATGCTGATGGAAATAGTTTTCCCAACTTATTGAGGCCAAAATAAGACGAAAATCGAGAATACTAATTTGTTGATGGAGGCTTCGTTAAAAAGTTATTAACGTTTAAAGTTTCACACCTTATCGAATTTTTTTCTAGAAACTGGGTAGGATTTCGGGGGTATGTCTATTCACCAAAAATGATTGTAATTGACCTCCACAACTGATTATAATTTTTCCAGAACGATTTGAAATTCTTTTTCCGCTGAAATATTTAGGCACATATTCGAATTTTTTCCTCGAAAATGAGTAGGATTTCGGTGGTAGATCTATTCACCAAAAATGATCGTAATTGACCCCCGCAACAGAAAATAATTTTTTTACAATGATTTGAAATTTTTAAATTTCGACGAAAAATTTGTCTACTTATTGAATTTTTTTCTCGAAAGCGGATAGGATTTCGGGGGTAGGTATAATGACCAAAAATGGTTTTATTTAACCCCTGTAACCGAATATAATTTTTCCAAAACGATTTGAAATTTTTTAATTTTGTCTAAAAATTTCACACATTCTGGAATTTTTTTCTCGAAAGTGACTAGGATTTCGAGGGTATGTCTATTCACCAAAAATGGTTATAATTGACCCCTGTAACTAAATATAATTTTTTTAGTATGATTCGACATTTTTTAATTTCGTCCAAAAATTTCAGTTGCTACTCGAATTTTTTTCTCGAAACTGAGTAGGATTTCGAGGGTATGCCCAATGACCAAAAATGGTTGTAATTAACCCCTGTAACCGAAAAGAATTTTTCCAGAAAGATTTGGAATTTTTCAATTTAATTTTGTTAATAACTTTTTAACGAAACCTAAATCACGAAATTGATGTTCTTGATTTTCGTCCTAATTTGGCCTCTAGAATCTCCCATTAAAATTTCTTCCCCTCTGGTGGCCGAACACCCTGTATATGAATCTGTAATCACTTTAGCGATGACTAATAAACGACAACGATACTCTTTTGAAAAATAATTCATACTATATGTGGTTTTGTTTATATCAACTATTTATAAACTTCTATTTGTCCCCTCTATTTCGTCGAACCTGAAAATATTTCAAACATTTCGAAGTTTACGAATATATTTTTCACTAAAATTGTTATTTAAACTGCAAATTGTCACCGCTTATTACTCGTAATTCGTCGAAAATTTATCACTTTTTTCATGACGTCAGAAACTAGCCGGAAACAGTTAACGGGTTAACAAAAATTAAAATCATAATAATAATTTACCAAGAATCTAGTCATCCAAAGGCTTCGAGACGCTACTACTCTCGTCGAGTCGGTTCTATTTGGTTTTCGGAAGGTGTTCCGGCCAGTTATCGGGGTCGAAAATACGAAGAATAATTTTCGACGAACCGTCCCGTTTATTGCTAGGCGAAATATGACATTATAATTCCGGACGGGACACGCGTTAAAGCTGTCGGGATTCCTCTGTGAGCCGGTCTGGGACGAGAAACTGGTCCCTACAAGGACAACGAGGTAAGGGGGACGGTATGATTCGCTACAGGTCGTTTCGTCGACTGCTTTTCAGCAGGGCCCGTTACTTTTTACGCTCGCACTTAAAACCACGCATGCAACTTGCCCTCTAGCCGAGCCTTTTACGCGGAAAGTGTCAGTGACCCGGCCGACCATTAACCCGTTCGCTGCCCACTTCCGGTGCTTTGCAAGACGCCGCTGAGTTTCGTTCGTTCGCGGGAATCGACATTTTCGGCGCTTAAATTGCCCTTCTACTTTGTGGAATTTAAAAAATCGATTTTTTCTTTGCACTGTCTTCTAGTACGTAGTCTCGAAAATATATCTACCGAATATTAAATTGAAATTCGGAAAAGTGACGAAGTTATAGCCTGCTGAAATGTACCACGCGCAGGGATATATAACTGGACGTAAGACTTCAAGTTGCCTTTCTACTTTATGGGATTAAAAATATCGAATTTTTCTTTCCATCGTCTTTTAGTATGTAGTCTCGATAATATATCTACTGAATATTAAATTGAAATTCGGAAAACTATCGGAGTTATAGCCTGCTGAAATGTACCACGCGTAGGTATAACAACTGGACGTGAAACTTTAAAGCTGTTTTTCTACTTTGTAGGATTAAAAAATCGAATTTTTCTTTCCATCGTCTTTTAGTACGTAGTCTCGAAAATATATCTACCAAATATTAAATTGAAATTCGGAAAACTAACGGAGTTATAGCCTGCTGAAATGTACCACGCGCAAGGATACATAACTGGACGTGAAACTTTAAGTTGCTATTCTACTTTGTGGGATTAAAAAAATCGAATTTTTTTTTGCATCGTCTTTTAGTACGTAGTCTCGAAAATATATCTACCAAATATTGAATTGAAATTCGGAAAATTGACGAAGTTATAGCCCGCTGAAATGTACCACGCGTAGGTATAACAACTGGACGTGAAACTTTAAAGCTGTTTTTCAAAAAGTCACGTGTTAAAAAAATAGGAACGCAGGTTTCTGCATGTGCAGCATGGGCGTCGTAGTTGAAGGGTCAATGTGTTCCAATTGGAAGCGTGTATCCTTTATTTACAACTGTTTTTCTTGTGTTTTTCGCCCCGGTAGTGTTATCGAGAGATATCATCTGAAAATTGCTCACCATTTTCAAGGTTTCCTCCGGTCTGAGCAGGTAGAACATGGACTGCAAGTGCTGTTGAATGTCGCATCCTGCCGCGGAGACCTTCCTTGAGGGTCTGGCCCTTTCGTTCGGGGGTAGAACCAGGGCCGCGCCCTTGCCTGCAAAGTAGCATTCGCTCAGACTGTAACAAACCAAAGGAATGCGTTCTGTGAGTCGAGATTTCACGATAATCAACGCATCGACGGATCGATTACGAGCTAACGGTTCAAAGAAACACCAGAAACACCGGGCCTGAGGTACAGATAGCGGTTATTGTTAAAAAAAATAACTATGGATGCAAGTACCAAGTTTGCATCAAATAGCAATTAGCGCAGCGATGAGTCGACAGGCAAAAAATACAAATTTCAAGAACAAATTTAGCTCTTATGGGAATTACGAAGCTATCTCAAAGATGGGAATCGATTATAAATTATAACGTAAAATTTATTATCCAATGAATGAATTGACTATTTGCATGTTTAGAACCGTACGAACAATTTTGGCCATTCTAATAATACAATTTACACGCGTTAATAATCTGCTGAAATATATAAAATATATACTCGTATCTGTTAAAAGTAATAAAGCAATATAAATGAGATTTACAATTGAACAGGTCTGAATAATCTACAGGAATTTAAATAAGGGTTATACTTGGAATTATTGGTGTCGTAAACTATTACACAATTCTTCGATGCACTCTGTTACCACTTTACTGCCCTTTTATTCGTCCAGGGTCGATTATGGTTTCGAGAATATATTTTTATGGGACAGTGGAGACCTAAGCCAACGAAAGGATACTTTTACAGAAATTGTTCGATACAATGGAGGACATTGTACGGTAGAAATAATTCTCTGGTCAAATTAATTCTTGTAAACGGAACTTTATATTGTTTTACGATCTCAACGACCTGACAAATGGGGCAATTTAGGACAATAAGACGCCATTAATAGAGCGGTTGCTTCAAGAGTCAGGTAAACGCGATACGCTGACAATAACTTCAAATAACAGCTTCAAAATAAAAATTAACTTCCATCGTCTTATGAAATATTTCGTATTAGAGGAATAAATAATTTAATCGTTCCATAAAATAAATATCCACATTGTTAATTGAAAAATTTGCAACTCGAAAGAAAATTAAGAAGTTGAATCAAAAATAAAAATAAGCCCACTTTGTTTCGAATAAAATTTCATATTAGAGGAATACAAAATTTAATCGTTCCATAAAATAAACATCTACAATTGTTAATTGAAAAATTTGCAACTCGAAAGAAAATTAAGAAGTTGAATCAAAAATAAAAATAAGCCCACTTTGTTTCGAATAAAATTGCACTTTAGGCTTGACCCAGTAATTTCCTCCCAAGGTCTAAGCATCTATGGAGATACACAGCGTACGCGTTTCGGTCGAAATATGCACTCTCGTTGCAGTGACCAACGAATGAGACGCACATGGCATTTTGTATACGCGTAAGCTTCCGGTAACGAGCGATACAATGGCAAGTTTCTCTTTCACGAGGGTAGCGATTACACGCGTGTAACCGGAGAAAAGAGAAACCTGAAAATCTATCTTCGGCAGCTCGATCTTTCGCAATCTTCGTTATCGAGAGCCGTTGTGATTGCTTTCGTGCGATAAAGAGCAGCGTAGGGAGTCGAAAATGTTCCGAAAATACGTACTGTTTGTCCAGCAATGGACAAAAGTCAAGAAATACCTTCGAAATCCTGCCATGCTATCGAGACAAAAATTCGAGAAGGTGAAATTTTTCAAATCGTACTGAAAAAATTATTTTCGGTTGCAAGGGCCCATTACAATGAATTTTGGTCATTGCACGTACCCTCGAAATCCTAACCATTTTCGAGAAAAAAAATCGAGAAGGTACTGAAATTTTTGGGCGAAAAGAAATTTTTCAAATCGCACTGAAAAAATTATTCTCGGTTGCAAGGGTCCATTGCAATCATTTTTGGTCATTGCATGTACCCTCGAAATCCTAACCATTTTTGAGAAAAAAAATCGAGTAGGTACTGTAATTTTTAGACGAAATTAAAAAATGTTAAATCATACTAAAAAAATTATATTTATTTACAGGGGTCAATTACAACCATTTTTGGTCATTGCACATACCCTCGAAATCGTAACCATTTTCGAGAAAAAAAATCGAGTAGGTACTGAAATTTTTTGGCGAAAAGAAATTTTTCAAATCGTTTTAAAAATAATTATCTTCGGTTGCGGGAGTCAATTACAATTATTTTTGGTCATTACACATACCCTCGAAATCCTAACCATTTTCGAGAAAAAAATTCCTCACCGAAAATATCACTCGAAAGTTTCTTGAGTATCTTTGAAACGTCATAACTTCTGAACGGATCGAAGGATTTTAATGTTCCAAACGGCAAACAACGCGTATTTGGGTAAAGAATATGTAGGAATTCTAACAATATTGAAAAAGTTGTCCCTTGACCCCGCAAAATGAGAAAAACTCCATAAAAATGGTCCAATTTTCAAACAGTCATAAGTCTTGCAATAGTGAATATTTTTCAATGAAATTTTTTTCCGAGGTAGAGCCCATGGGCACCTACAAAAAAGTATTAGACAACTTTTCTATAGGGCGCGAAACAAAGTTACTAAAAATGGAAAACTAATTTTTAAGAAAAATCGACAGGGGGTAGGTGCTGAAATTTGTCGGTGAAAAAAAAAATTTCGAATCGTTCTAAAAAAATTATTTCTAGATTCCGGAGTCAATTGCAACCATTTTTGGTGAATACACGTACCCCCGAAATCCTATCCATTTTCGAGAAAAAAATTCAATAAGTAGCCAAATTTTTCGTCGAAATTCAAAAATTTCAAATCGTTCTAAAAAAATTATTTCTAGATTCCGGAGTCAATTGCAACTATTTTTGGTGAATACACGTACCCCCGAAATCCTATCCATTTTCGAGAAAAAAATTCAATAAGTGTACAAATTTTTCGTCGAAATTTAAGAATTTCAAATCATTGTAAAAAAATTATTTTCTGTTTGGGGGGTCAAGTATGATCATTTTTGGTCAATAGACATATCCTCGAAATCCTACCCATTTTCGAGAAAAAAATTCGAATAGGTGCCTAAATATTTCGGCGCGAAAAAAAAAATTTCAAATCGTTCTGTAAAAATTGTTATCGATTTTACTACGTTGGATCGTTCGACGAGCGCAAGCATAGTCATTGCGAAACTTGGCATAAAACACTTACGACGAGTCCGGACTCGTTATTGTACTACAGGGGGGTTAATTACATAATTCCGTACGTACACTGCCGGCAAGGTCTCGCGTTCTCTTTTGTTAGTTTTAAGGGCACTGGCGAATAGCACTCAATTAAAAGTCCCGTTTGGTCGAAATTACGTCTTGAAAATTCGAGCCACCTCGTTTCCGTCAATAATATACACACCTGCGCAGAATAAAGCGTCGGACATCCTACGTCGAGCACACTTCGACCTTTATTCTACGCGTTAAACGAGGCCTCTTCAACCAACATTCGATCGTTTCAAAAGAGAGCACCAAGTACCATAACGGAAGGCATCATTACATATTTTTCAATTAACACTGGTATCGAAAATTACAGTCAGGGCCGTGACAAAAGAAAAGATATAAACTAGGACCAACAATGTACCATAATAAATAACCAAAATAACTGTTAAACTGTTACGTTTAGAGCCCTATGTTGATCAATACTTTTTTATAGAGCTTAAAAACCACATCGAACATTGCAATTATAAAATGCAATTAGACTTATCCAAAGAATGGAATTTTACACAGTTTCCATTGTATCGTTAGATGTAGTAGCAATTTAAAATTCACCAAAGTATCACATATTAAATTTATAAACTTATAAATTTAGCAATTAATATTTTAATCTTTAATATCAAGCTGTTCCTTCAACTCCAGATTATCTTTAGGACAGTGGTGGAGCTGGTCGTGGACAAATAACTGTAACACATATTTACGAAACAAACGGAGATGCTATCGTGCTGGTAGAAGCGACCAATTTTATTTTCCACTCAAAATATCGCAACGAGGTTGATTTAAAAACAATTAGAAAGTCACGTTGAAAGCTGCCGTGAAAGTAATAGCGAGCAAGTTCTAGAAAATGCACTTTTTTACACGAGAGAACAGTGATTTTGGTACAAGTATAGAAAATAGAACTTCTGGTCGACATTAAATTATTGCAATTAACCTTTAAAATTATTCGAGATCTGTATTAATAAAAATCGTGCAACACGATGCAATTTTTAATTAACACTGTTTCTGTTTACATACGTATCTCTTAAGAGACTCGCGAATACCAAAGTATATTTGATCTTCGTCGATCGAGCATATTTTAATCTCTCGTATGATTTTTAATGTTTCAAACAAATTTGACCACGTTTTTAAAGAAGAATATTCCGTCGAAGCATGGTGGTACTATCCCATTGAAAGAACAAAACACTTTTTTCGTAGAAATTTGCACACCTCTTTTTCCAATAAAAAGGACACTTTAAATCGTTCGTTTGCTCGTCGAACTCGCGTGTTTTTAAATTATCGTTCGAAAACAATGTCGATTTCGATTTCCGTGTGTACCTGTCTACGTAACCATTCACGCAAATGGTTGGTACCCCTGCTTTCCCTGTCGCAGGGGTGTCTTCCGCAGGTTTCTCCGTAATGGTGCACCGGTCGACCTCGACACTCGAACAACGACGATAAAAAGAAATCACAGTCGATCGACACACGCGTCAGAATTTATTCGAGAAGCTTTTCGTTCGATCTCGATCGCGAACAAAGAGTTTTCTCGCGCTGAAAAATGAATCCTGAATGGCGAGGGAGATTCGAGGGGGGGGAGCTTTTGTTAAAAAGCTTTGGCGAAAGTGTGACAACGCGAACGGGGATCGACTCGCGGACGCGATTAGGCCGAGAACCGATGGGATACTAAAATCATCTGGAGACTCATGCTAGAACTGCGAAACTGCGACGCGTGGGCGCGTCTTCGCGAAGCAAACCTTTGCTGCCCGTATTATTAGCCCTCGTGGAGATTGTGGCCTCTCTCTGTCGCGTGTTTTCGCATTCCGTGCGAAGGAATTCGTGGAAAGGAGCCATGCGATGCAAGGAACCGAGCTTCTCGATGAACCAAACAGATC